GCACCAGCAGCAGCTCCAACGCCCGGGTCCTCAGCACCAGCAGCGGCTCCAACGCCCGGGTCCTCAGCACCAGCAGCAGCTCCAACGCCCGGGTCCTCAGCACCAGCAGCAGCTCCAACAGCAGCGGGGTCCGTAACACGAGGCACGCCACTCCGAAGAGTGCAGCGCCGCTCGTACCACTCACGGATTCGCTCGCGGGAGGGGAGCTCCCGAACGGGAGAAGAAGCACTAGCACCAGTCCCAGTAGTACGTCCGGCTCGAGCGGTACCTCTCCGGAGGCTGCAGTACTCTAAGTACCACGCAAGCAGCTGCTCCGAGGAGAGGGCTCCTCCAGGTGCAGGACTCCCAGGCCTAGTACCTCCAGACTCAGAACCCCCAGACTCCGGACTCCGCAGCTCAGCACAACAAGGCTCCACACCCCCAAGCTCAGCACCCTCAAGCTCCACACCCCCAGGCTCCACACCCCCAGGCTCCACACCCCCAGGCTCAGCACCCCCAGGCTCAGCACCCCCAGCAGGACGAGAGTCGACAGCTACCTCAACAGGCTCAACCGGGTCTACCTGAGACACACCTGAGGGAGCGGCACCCTGAGGGGGGAGGGGGTCTGCAACAGCAGCACCTGGCGCGAGGAAGAGAGGCGGGGGGGGGAGCGGGGCAGTGTGGTAGGGGAAGAGGCGGTAGTAGGGGACGGACTCGTCAAAAGTGACGTCCTGGGAGGGCAAGACTCGGCGCGAGGTGGCGTGGTAAAACTGCCAACCAGACGCGTCCGGGACAAAGCCGAGGAAGACGCAGGGAACAGCACGGGAGGAGAGCTTGTCCGCAGACGAATCGCGGACAAAAGCTCGAGACCCCTAGACTCGGAAACGCGACGCATCGCCAACCTCCCCCGTCCACAGCAGCGTGGGCGAGGTCTCCGGCAAGGAGACACGGGGCCAGAGGTTGAGCTGATGCGCAGCGTACCAGACCGCAAACGGCCACAGAAAGTGGGGGGCAGCCGCATGGATCAAGGAGGTACGGGCGACCTCCATAACCAGGCCAATGTGGCGCTCCGCAACCCCATTCTGCTGTGGAGAAGCCGGAAGCGTGAACGACTGCTCAATGCCGTGCTCAGCACAGTAGGCTGCCAAGAGTTCGGAGGAGAACTCACCACCTCTGTCAGAGTGCAAGCGCAGGACAGGAAAGTCCGAGTGAAAACGCTCGCTGAGCTGGAGACGGGCTCTGCGGATCCAAGGGATCAAGACATCAGGGACCTCACCCTTGGTGCGCAAGGGGAAGACCGAGGTGTAGCGCGAGTAGTCGTCAACAACTATCAGGAAGTACCTCTCCTGACCCCGACCACGGACGCGGGCTGGGCCCCACACGTCCATGTGGAGTGTCTGCAAGGGAGCAGTCGTCGGGGGGAACGAGGAGGAGTGAGGAGCGGCGCGCTGCCGTCCCTCGACACAGGGGAGACAGGTAGGAGCAGGCGAGGGTGGGAGGGCAGGAAGGACCCTGGGCAGGCCAGAGACAAGGTACCAGGAGTGCATGGCACGAAGCCGCTGCACAGACGGGTGGCCAAGGCGGTGGTGCCAGAGGACAGTCTCGTGTGCCAAAGAGCGACACGAGCAGGGGGCGGACAGCTGACCTGACGCGGACGCGGACCCAGTCGCAGCAACCTGAGGGGACTCAGTAGTCAGTGTGTACAGGTCCGACCCCGGCTGCCGAGTGAAGGTAGCCAAGTGACGGCCCGTACGAGCACACGTGCAGTGTGTCACGCGCTCGTAGGCAGGGGTGAACTGGTGAACACCCCCGTCCTGGAGTGCACATCCTGCCACCAAGTTCGTAGAGAACGAGGGGAGGTGGAGACCTGACAGTGTGCCCGACGGGACCGCAGGGCAGGGAAGGACAGTGGAAGAGGTCGCAATGACCGGACCCCCAGAGGGGTCAGCAAGGGAGACAGCAACTGGCCGAGCAAGCGGCTCAAGGGCAGTGCGGTCACGAAAGAAGCAGCGAGAAGCACCTGAGTCCAGTGTGAAGGTGTGCAGTGCGGCAGTCGACGCAGTACCAAGGGGGGGAGACACACGAGCACCTAGAGCAGCAGCCTCACCAGCACCTGGGGTAGCCGACACGCGAGTACCTGGAGCGGCAGACGCACTGGCCCTAATGCCCGGGTCGGGCGGCACACACAAGTACTCAGCACCCTCTCCACTAGTAGACATCACATACATGGCAGATAGAATAGCATCAAAGTCTAGAGCATAGATATCAATCCCCTTCTTCAGGAGATCAAGCCAGCGGGGCAGCTCAGTGGCCTGAGGGAACTGAACACGCCAAGCGTCGTCGAGACGAGAGAAGCAGCGCTGTGTGGCGTGCGGTCGTCCACACTGCTGACCAGTGCGGTCACCAGTGCGAATGACGTACGTGCAGCTAAGACCACCCCCACCCCCGTGCTGAGAGTACCACTCACGGACCTCCTGGGGCGAGGGAGTGTGCTGCTGGCCCTGGCCACCGCCAGTGCCTCCACGGCCACCACCACCGCTGCCACCTCCCCGACCACCCCAACCCCTGCCGCCGCCTCGTCCACCGCCACCCCAACCGCCGCCTCCACTCCTGCCACCTCCCCCGCCGCTGCCGCCACCACCCCCACCGCTACCACTCGCCCCTCCAGCCGAGCCACCACCCCCACTGCCTCCACCGCCCCCACCGCCGCCTCCCCCGCCGTCACCGCCACCACCCTTGCCCCCTTTGCCCTTGCTGCTGCGGCGTCCGCTCGAGGCAGACGCAGCGCCGACCTTCTCAGTACCAAGGAGGTCGACAGCAGCAGCAGAGGCGACAGAGGGAAGAAGGGGGGAAGGAGAACACCCCTCAAAGAACGGGGTACGGGGGTCGCCACGAGAGGCACCTACAGCAACTATGCTAGTCTCAGCTGCAAGTAGCTCCTTCTCGAGGAGGGCAATGGTGAGCTCAGTGGGGCAACGAGCTAGGAAGTGGTCCCTGACAGCACGCAGTGTGTCAGGGAGGCGGGTGACTAGGTGGTAGAGAGTGAGCCAGAGTGGAGGGGGGTGCGTGGCAAGGAGCTCAGCAGGCATGGCGGCACAGAAGCGGGCCTCACTAGTACGGAGGTGCGTGATGAGGTCAGCGACTGTGTGAAAGGAGGCCAGGTCGGGAAACAGGTAGGGGAGGGAGAGACGGCCTAGTGCGGCAGAGGCAGGTGAGGAGTAGCGAGCAACTACAGCTGTGTACAGTGCCTGTGCAGTCTTGTGCTGACCAAAGTGCTCGCGTTCGTCTATCGGCAGGGAGTTGCGAATGGCGAAGCGAGCGTGGGCATCATGAGTCTGCCACTGTGAGCGAGCAGTGCTGTCAGAAGTAGCAGCAGGGGCAGTGACATGGCCTAGGGCGTGATCGTACAGTGAGATGTCATCCTTGGCTGTGAGCTGTAGGTAGAGGTGCAGGTCATCGAGCCAGGTGTCAAACTTCACAGGGCGGCCCTCAGCATCGAACACGAGAACCTGTGGGCTAGCCATAGGAACAGTAGAAATAGCAGCAGTAGCAGTAGGAGAAGCAGGTAGGACGAACCAGGTAGGGCAGGGCGGCGCGGCTCGGTTCAGGTCAGGTCGCGGCTCGGCTGGGTGGCGCGGCCCGGTTCAGGGCGCGCGGCTCGGCTCGGGGCGCGCGGCTCGGCTCGGGGCGCGCGGCTCGGGTCACGGCGGGGACGGGCCGCCCGCTCTCCCTCGTGTGCTGCGGCGGGAACGGGCCGCCAGGGGCCTCTAGGTGGTGGGCACGGGTCGGCGAGGTCGGCACGGGGCCGGTTGGGGCCCTAGAGGGGCGAGCGCGGGGCCGATCGGGGCCTGAGCGGGGCTAGCGCGGGGCCAAACGGGGCCTTGACGGGGCTAGCAAGGGGCCGACGGGGCCTGAACGGGGCTAGCGCGGGGCCGACGGGGTCTGAAACGGGGCCGACGGGGCCTGAAACGGGGCTAGCGCGGGCCCGATCGGGGCCTGAATGGGGCTAGCGCGGGGCCGACGGGGCCTGAGAGGGGCTAGCGCGGGGCCGACGGGGCCTGAAACGGGGCTAGCGCGGGCCGACGGGGCCTGAGAGGGGCTAGCGCGGGGCCGACGGGGCCTGAAACGGGGCCAACGGGGCCTGAAACGGGGCTAGCGCGGGCCGACGGGGCCTGAGAGGGGCTAGCGCGGGGCCGACGGGGCCTGAAACGGGGCCGACGGGGCCTGAAACGGGGCCTGAAACGGGGCTAGCGCGGGCCGACAGGGCCTGAGAGGGGCTAGCGCGGGGCCGACGGGGCCTGAAACGGGGCCGACGGGGCCTGAACGGGGCTAGCGCGGGGCCTGAACGGGGCCTTAAAGGGGCCGACGGGGCCTGAACGGGGCCGCTAGGGAGAGCGGGTGTGGGGCCGACGGGGCCTGAACGGGGCTAGCGCGGGGCCGTCAAGAGGGGCCTCTAGGGGCGTGACACGCCGAGGCGCCCTAGGGCACAGGTAGGTAGGTAGGTAGGTAGTTACGTAGTGGTGGGCCCTTAGAAAATTTCGGTCCTAGGAAGGACCTGCTCTATACCATGTTGGAATCACTGAACAGGAATGAATGAACTAGCAGTGAAATGAGTACAAGTACCTAAACCTAGAATTGTGTACCCCCTATAGGCTAACCCACTGTAGCCTAAACTAACACAACATATATAATGTTTGACAGTCAAAATACTAAGTCGAGTTGGGCTTAGGAGCCATAGTAGCTTAGGAGAAGGTTTAGTGATCGAGTTCGAGTTGAAGGGGTGTGTCGAGAAAGTTGAGAATGTTCAATAAAAGCAAAGAGATACAACATATCGTCAAGAAACTAGAGGTGCACCACCAAACAGAAGACAAGATAAATACACCACACCTAAACCACAAGCAGTTACATAAAATAACTTTGACACGGTGCTCAAGGCGGTGTCGACGCATTTTGCTGAGTCTTTCAAGGCTTAGTCGCCGGTGGCCCAGTCGGCAGGCGCGGATTTCACGGTGGACAGGGTCATGCCAGAGGGGGCGGCGGATAGACTCGGAGCCCCGTGGTCGGAATTGGAAGTCAAGGCTGCGCTGGACGGTCTCCCGAAGGGGAAGTCGCCAGGGCATGACGGGCTCCCGGCGGAGCTTTTCACGGCTCATTGGGACCTGTTGGGGGGGCCATTCATGAATTTCGTCAGGAATTTCGAGGCGACGGGGGTGCTGCCAGAGTCACTGACGACGGCGGTAACGGTTTTACTGCACAAGAAAGGGGAGAAGGACCTGCTGACAAACTACAGGCCAATCACTCTGCTCACAACAGTGTACAAGGTCCTGGCAAGGGTGCTCGCGAACAGGCTCAAACGCGAACTACATCACATCATCTCAAGGGAGCAACACGGGTTCATACCGGGGAGAAGCCTGGCAGACGCGGTGGCGGTGGTGGCGGATGCGATAGAAGCGGCAGACAATGATGGTGAAGACTGGTACCTCTTGCACGTTGACTTCCAGAAGGCCTACGACACAGTGTTGCGGCCTTTCCTTTTCGGGACGTTGGGGAAGCTCGGATTGCCTGCGCGATTTATCAAATGGGCAGAGGGCCTGCATCAGGGGTCAGGGATGAGGTTGGCGTTAAACGGCTGGGTTGGGGAAAAGGTAGAAATGCAAAGGGGGGTAAGACAGGGGTGCCCCTTAGCACCCTACCTATTTCTCTGTGCCCTGGAGCCGCTTTGTGCGGAGATTAAAAGGCGCGGCCTGGGGGTCAAGGCGGACGGGGGTGACGCGGTGTCATATGTTGGCTACGCGGACGATACCTCGTTGATCCTGAAAGGCGCAGATCAGCTCCACTCAGCTACAGCAGCGTTGGATTGGTTCGGGAGACTGTCCGGCCTACGCATCAATCAAGACAAGTATATCGTCATGCCGCTGGGTAGGAACAAAGGCAGAACGTCCCTACCAGGGGTCAGTTTCAAGTGGGCGGAGGAAGGGGTCCCCGAGCGCCTGCTTGGAATATGGGTGACGCCGGACGGAGACGCGACACCGTCCTGGGAAAAAGCATGGGAGAGAGGGAGGAAGGAGCTGATCAAATGGGAGAAGCAACACCAGCTGACGGCATCAAGAGTAACGGTTATCAACAGCTACATCATGCCGATACTGCTTTTCCAGGCGCAAATATACCCGCCGCCGGAAGAGCTTTGGGCGAAAATCCGGAAAACCTACGACAATTATGTCTCGAAAGGGGAGGCAACATCGGAGAAAATCTTTGTGCTCTGGAGCGGGGAGCTGGCGCGGTTGCCGAAGGAGGACGGCGGCTTGGGGCTGATCGATCCGAAGGACCGGCTGGATAGCATGGCGATACGGCAGGTGGGGAAATTCTTGACAGAGAAGGATGCCACCAAGAGATGGCTGATGGAGAAGGCCGCAGCGCTGCCACAAGGTGTTGCGACGCTCTTCGCCCACAAATCTGCCAAAAAACACTGGGAGAAGGGGAGCCAGAGGTGGAAGGCGATAGTGGAAATTTTCTGGGAGTCCCCTTTTGCGGATCTGCCGGAACCGACCAACAGCTGGGAAGCAGAACATGAAGTACTTTGCTTCAACCGGCGCATCATGTTCCGGGGGGGTAGCCCTTTTGGGAACCAACAGGGCACAGCCGGAATTGTGAAAACCACGATGGGAAGCTTGCTCGCCACCAAGGAGGATGGGAGCAGAGAGCTGAAGGACATCAAGACACTGACCGCAGAGTTCGGAGCGTGGCGTCGGCCAGATGGGCGAAGAAAGCCTACGAGGCCTCCCCGGCGGGCTGGAGGTCGATGCTGACGGCGCCGAAAACAGCCAAGGCGGTCGTGGCGGTGGCAAAGGTGGTGCGTACGGTTCTGACACGGACGCAAGAATACGTGTACTGGACGGTCAAAGGGGTCAAGGAGGGGAGAGTGGCGACTGGCCACCTCAACTACTCGGACGCCTTGAACCTGGTCGCGCCGCAGAGCCCGTACGCGGTAAACTTCCCGGTCAGGAGTGTAGAGCCGGTGGTGACTAGGTGTGGCACGGTGCTCGGAGCGATGGGCGAGCCTCGAGTCAAGCTATGCCAAACCTCACTGGTAGGAGAACACATGAAGCCGGCGGCGCCTAAGGAGAAAAGAAGGGCGCTAACGGGGCTGGTCATGGCATCTAGGCGGAGACACGAGTGGGACGAAGAGCTAGGCAGGAAAATTGACTGGAAGGTTGTGAGAGAAAAGAGAGACTCCGTGGTGATCCCCTACAGAGCACGGGATGTGGTGTTGCGTATGCACAGCAAGAACCTGCAGGTGGGAGGGAGGCTAGTTTTTCTCGGACCCAGAGGATGTTGCCCGCACTGCGGGGCCCTTGAAACCCTGGATCACTGCATGCGTACCTGCCCCGTCATCCAGCCGGTGATCGGCGCGCTGCTGAGCTCACTGAGGATGATGGATCCAATGGACCAGACGAGATCGCTTGGTGATATGTTGTTCAAGGAGGGAGGCACGAAGTCCGGTTTCCTAGGGGCCACTTTGACAGCAGTGACGATGCGGAGAATCTGGTTGGCCAGGGTGGATGCGGTGTTTCGGAAGGAGAAGTTTCAACGGAAGGTCACAAGGGCGGCTATTTTTGACTTCATGAGGCATGCGAGATTGTACAGAGCAGAAAAGTTGAGGAAGGCAACAGGTCGCAAGATCCAAGGGCAGCCACGGGACCCGTGGGGTGGCCTGACAAGTGATGAGTGTGAAAGATAAGAGAACAGGAATGAAATGACTAGGTCACAGTTGGGTACAAATACAACCCTAGAAAGCTGTACCCCATATGTGCTACCCCACTATAGCCTACAAACATGCATCAGTTATAATACTCTGACACACCCCCATAGGCAAAGTGGGGGAGAACAAGGGGTCACAAGACCAGTCAAGCAAAGCAAAGCAAAGCAAGCTCAGGGTGGATCACAAAGTCACCACACAGTCCGAGCACAAGAGTAGGGCCAGAGGCCAGTTCACATGCAGGAGAACAGACATATATATAAAACTAGACAAGCAAGAGCAGGTATATATATATGTCACAGTACAAGTGAAGTCAAGAGGAGAGCAAGTGAGGCAAGACAGGCACAAGACCCAGCTGGGTGCAAAAGCGCTGATGGTCACAAGGCGCGAGTGCCTTGGTGAACACATCAGCAGTGTTGGCCTCAGAGGCCACGTACGCAAGTCGCAACTGACCACGCTGCTGCAGCTCACGAGCAAGGAAGTAGCGGAGAGCAATGTGCTTCGTTCTGTGCTCCAAGCGCTGCTCTCGACACAAGGCCAGCATGGCCTTGTTGTCTACGTACAGCACTGGAGGAGAACGAGGCGGCTCTCCAAGGTCAGTCAGCAGGTAGGTGAGCCAGCGAAGCTCCTGTGCAGCCATGGCCCCGGCGTAGATCTCAGCCTCACAACTGGAGCCGAGAACTGAAGACGAGCGAGTAGACCGCCACGAGACAGAGCCGGAACCAAGGCTGAAGGTGTAACCCTGTGACGACCGCTGCGTAGCCTGGTCGTCAGCCCAAGAAGCGTCCGCTGGACTCCGCCCTCCAAGCACTAGCCCCATGCCCGACGTACTGCACAGGTAGCGCAATACCCTCTTCGCTGCTGCCATGTGCCCTGGTCGGTGTCTCCCAGGAGCAACATAGCGTGCAAGAATGCTCAGAGGGTATGCAAGGTCAGGTCGTGTGCAGGTCATCAGGTACATGAGGCAGCCAACAAGCTCTGCATACGGACCACTCGACTCTACGGACTCATCCGAAGGCAGAGCTGAGAGTGAGTGGCGAGTAGGCAGAGGAGTGGCCTGAGGCGAGGAGTACGTGAAGCCGAAGCGCTGAAGGACCTGCTGCACCATGTGTGACTGAGTCAAGGTAATGGTGCGGCGTGCTCTGTCCCGAGTGATCTGCAAGCCAAGGTAGCTGCGCAGTTCACCCAGGTCTGTGCACGTGTGTCTCTTCAGCAGCTCGGACTTCACGTAGGCGAGTCCAGCAGTGTCCGCTGTGGCAAAGACCAAGTCGTCGACGTACACGAGGATGTAGAACGGCGGCAGTGAAGTGTCGGTGCGCAGAAACAGCGACGGGTCAGCAGTAGAGGGAGCAAACCCAAGAGCCGCAAGCGTAGTCCTCAGTGTGTCGTGCCACTCACGCGGTGCCTGGCGGAGACCGTAGACTGGCCGTCGGAGGCTCCACTGGGTGCCAGGAGGGAAAGTCCCAGTGAAGCCAGGCGGACGGCGCAGCCAGATCTCCTCATGCAGGCTACCCTGCAAGAACGCAGTGCTGAAGTCGAGAGAGTGCAGCTCGTAGTCGCACTGAGCGGCTATGTGCAGCAGCACCCGAAGAGTGGTCATCTTCGGGGTGGGAGAGAAGGTCTGAAAGTAGTCAACTCCCTGCCGCTGACTGAAGCCACGAGCAACGTACCGCGCCTTGAAGACAGGTGGAGAGCCCGGCGGCCGCTTCACCCTGAAGATCCACATGCCACTGACGATGTTCGCCCCAGGAGGGGGAACTGCGTCAACGTAGGTGCCTGTGGACTTCCAGGAAGCCATCTCTGCATCCATAGCTGCCTGCCACTGAGAGGAGTAGGGACCCTCTACGGCCTCCGCGTAAGAGCGCGGAGTCGGGATGTCTAGTGCATCCGGGTCTCCCTCAGGAGCAAGCAGTACAGACGCGAGATGAGGTGAAGCAGCAGTCAGACACTGTAACTCCTCCTGCCTGTCCTCTAGGACGTCCGTGCCAAGAGCACACTCACCCCCGACGGACGGAGGACAGACAGACGCAGACTCAGCAACAAGACTAGCAGCGTAGTCTAGACGGCAGCGAGCAGCAAAGTCGACGAGCTCAGCGACAAGAGCAGACGCAGCAGTGGACTCAAAAGAGGGGTCAGTGACGACAGTAGCAAGCAGACGCGTGACAGTAGGACAGGCAGCACGAAGAGAGTCCGACTCAGGGTCGGCAAGCGCAGGAAGAGAGGACTCAGGAGGAGAAGGCAAAGGGGCACGCAGAGGAGCAGTGGACGGACGCAGAGACATCCGGTGCGTGCCAGGGACAGGAGGAGGACGCTGACGCGAACCGCGACCACTAGCGCGAGCAGCACGAACCGACGACGTGGGACGAGACGCAGGCTTACGACGCTCAGCAAGACCTCCAGTAGGACCAGTGTAAGGGGAGGGAGCAGGCAGAGGAGAGGAAGGCTCCAACAGTGACTGCGACTGGACAGGCTGTGGACACTCTACCGAAGGAGAAAGACCAAGAACCTGCTGTAGGAGCGGAACGAAGTACGGCCGAGGCCGCGCGGCAGCTCCAGACTCAGCAGGGACAGCACCAGCACCCTCAGCGACAGCACCAGCGCCACCAACACCTCCAGCGGCAGGACCTCCAGCAGCACCAGCAGCAGAACCACCGCCAGGACAGACAGCAGTAGTCTCAGCACCAACACCCTCAGCAGCTCCAGCTCCAGTAGGACCCGCAGGCCCAGCAGCTCCGGGACCGGCAGCACCAGCACTCTCGACGGTCGACGAAGCTCCAGCTCCAGCAGCACGCCTCCAGCGGCGAGCAAACCACTCGCGCAGCTCCTGTGGAGAGAGGGGCTCCAGGCAAGACGCAGCAGCAGGAGAAACCCCAGGCTCAGCAGCTCCAGACTCAGCACCCCCAGGCACAGCAGCTCCAGACGTAGCACCCCCAGGCTCAGCAGCTCCAGACTCAGCACCTCCAGGCTCAGCAGCTCCAGACTCAGCACCCCCAGGCTCAGTAGCTCCAGCTCCAGTAGGACCCGCAGGCCCAGCAGCTCCGGGACCGGCAGCACCAGCACCCTCAGCAGGCGAAGAAGCTCCAGCTCCAGCAGCACGCCTCCAGCGGCGAGCAAACCACTCGCGCAGCTCCTGTGGAGAGAGCGGCTCCCGCCGAGACGGAAGAACCGGAGAGCCCCCAGGTCCAGCAGGCGCAGGCTCCGGACCTCCAGGCCCAGCACCCCCAGACTCAGCACCCCCCGGCCTCGCACCCCCAGGCTCAGCACCCCCAGCAGCAGCACCCCCAGGCTCAGCACCCGCAGCAGGACCAGACTCAGCAGCAACCTCGACTGGCTCGACTGTGTCTACCTGGGACACACCTGAAGGGGCAGGAACCTGAGGGGGGAGGGGGTCTACCGGGGGGGGAACTGGCACCAGGAAGTCCGGTGGGGGGGGGAGGGAAGGAGTACGGTAGGGGAAGAGGCGGTAGAAGGGGACTGACTCGTCGAACGTGACGTCCTGGGAGGACAGAACACGACGAGAGGAGGGGTGGTAGAACTGCCACCCTGGAGCGTCAGGGGGGAAGCCAAGGAAGACACAGGGAGCAGCACGGGGGGACAGCTTGTCCGCAGACAAGTCGCGGACAAACGCCCGAGATCCCCAGACACGGAACGCAGACGCATCGCCGACCTTCCCCGTCCACAGTAACACTGGGGACATCGCGGGCCGAGAGACCCTGGGGTGAAGGTTGAGCTGATGCGCCGCGTATCGAACCGCAAACGGCCACAGAAAATGGGGGGCAGCCGCATGCATCATGGACGTACGAGCGACATCCATGACCATGCCAATGCGGCGCTCAGCAATCCCATTTTGCTGTGGAGAGTCCGGAAGCGTAAAGGTCTGGCGGATCCCCTGTGCACGACAGTAGTCTCGCAGAAGGCGAGAGGAGAACTCCCCACCTCGGTCAGAGTGCAGACGCAGAACAGGAAAGTCCGAGCCGAAGCTCCTCCTGAGCTGGAGACGAGCCTCGCTGATCCAGGCGATCAGCACCTCAGTGACAGCACCCTTGCTGCGCAAGGGGAAGACTGAGGTGTAACGCGAGTAGTCGTCAACCACCAACAGGAAGTAGCGCTCGTGACCCTGCCCACGGACGGGGGCCGGGCCCCACACGTCCATGTGAAGCGTCTGCAGAGGAGCCTCTGTCGGGGGAAACTGGGAGGAGTGAGGAGCAGCCCTGAGGCGCCCCTCGACACAAGGGACACAGGAAGGTCCTGGTCCCGAAGGAAGGGGAGGGAGAGACTGGGGAAGACCAGAGACAAGGACACGGGAAGCCATGCCCCGAAGACGGGGCAAGGAGGGGTGGCCTAGACGGTGGTGCCACAGGAGAGTCTCGTGAGACAGGAGGCGACACGAACAGGGGGCAGACTCAGGACCAGACCTGGACGCAGCAGCAAACACCTGACCCGACGCTGCTACCTGACCGGACGCGGGGACAGGAGGAGACTCAGTGGTCAGGGTGTAGAGGCTCGACCCCGGCCGACGCGAGAACGTGGCCAGGTGCCGGCATGTGCGTGCGTCCGTGCAGTGGGTCACCCGCTGACTCGCAGGAGTGAACTGGTGAACCCCCGCATCCTGTAGGTCTGCACCACTCACCAAGTTCGTCGAGAACGAGGGGAGATACAGGCCAGACAGGGTGCCCGAGGGGGCAGCCGGACACGGGAGGACAGTGGAAAA